AACTGAAGACTTTTCGCGCTTTTTTCGATTTTTCCTAAAAGATCGGAACTTTGGAAAATAATGGAATATAATTTTTTGCTACAAGGAAGTGCATCTTATTATAGTTTTGTAAACATATTACTGCAGATTTCTTTTGCAGAAAGCGGTTGTACTTATCCGCTCGTATTTCAGTTTTGGAGATATTATTTTTATGTGGATAAGTTCATGAAATTTCCTCGTGAGAATAAGTTTATCGTGCATTGGATTAGAAGTAATATCCGTAAGTGCGGTATTACTTATTGTTACTTAGACATAGTTAAGTAACATGAACATATTACATCGATGATAGAATTGTAGTTTGTTTTTATTACAAAATATTGCAATTGAACGTTTATTTATAAGGTGTAGTGGGAAATATGTAGACATAAAATCTTTTGGAAAAATTTACTTCGCAAATATCCGCGTTATAAAATAAAATGATGTGTCTTACCTAGTATGAAGAGCACCTCCCGCCCTCCCTTAATTGCGTGGACTATCCCCGTCACCACTAATCCCAGCACCGCTACTCCCAACACCACTACACTAGGCAAGACGCACCACTGACGATAATACGACACGTGTTTCGCCTCTACACGAGGCATCCTCAGGTGATATAGGCTCTACGGTGGCTAACCGCTAAGTGAGCGGCGACCTTAAAAATATAGGCGATAATTCGACCTTGAAAATGAACCCCGTGGTCGTTCAAAAACTTTGGTCGGCGTTTGTGAAAGCTGATAATAATCATTCTACAGCTGAATTACCAGCAGTTTTTGACGTTAGCATCAAAACAGTATCGGCCCATTTGCGTCAAATTGGCAAGGTAAAAAATATTAACAAATGAGTGCACCACGATCGCCAGCGCGAAGTCGAGGTCGAGACGTGCCTTGCAGTGCTCATCGAGCGCACGTTTGTCCGTAAATCAAAATAAAAAAAATGATTGCAAAATCCACGTAAAAAATCGTTTGATTTTTTACTGTGGATATTGTACCGCATTGTCACTTGGAACAAAAATGGATTCTGCTTGACAATCAAAAGTGCTCAGCATGATCGTTGGATCCTGTCTCAGTACCTAAACAGTGCCTTAAACAAAAGTTTACCCCTAGAAAAGTGATGGTCACTGTTTGGTGGTGTGGCGCCGGTGTGATTTATCACAGCTTCTTACAAAACGGGATAAGAATTACTGCAGATGTTTACTGTGAATAACTAACCAGAATGATGGAGAAGCTCGCACGTCTCCAACCAACTTTAGTCAATCACTCGCCCCCACTGCTCCTGCACGAAAACGCGCGACCTCATACTGCACAACAGACGGTCGTCTTTTGTGCAGTATGAGTAACAAAAGCTGGAGTTGGAAGCTCTCTGTCATCCATCGTACTCACTAGACTTTACACCGAAATACTTTTTCCAGAGTTCAGATAACTTTTTGGCGAAAAAGAAAACAATACCGACCGGTAGTACAAAATGCCATTGAAGAATTTGTTGCCTACCGTCCAGCTGATTTCTTCAAGAAGGGCATCAATAAGCTGCCATTGCGTTGGCAAAGATGCATCTATTGCATTGCTGATTACTTTGATATTACTTTGATGAAATAGAAATAAGAAATATAGATAAAAAAGTTCATAGTCATCATCATCATTACAGCCCTTCACAAGTCCGCTGCTGAACGTAGGCCTCCCCCAAGGAATGCCACAAAGCTCGGTCCTGGGCCAACTGCATCCATCGACTTCCTGCATATCTTACCAGGTCGTCACTCCATCTAGTGAGGGGACGCCTAACACTTCGCCTGCCGGTACGAGGCTGCCACTCGAGAACATTTCTTCCCCATCGGTTGTCGGTTCTTCGAGCTATATGGCCGGCCCATTGCCACTTCAGCTTACTAATCCGTTGGGCTATGTCGGTCACTCTGGTTTTACTGCGGATATCCTCATTTCAGAGTTTATCACGCAGAGAAACTCCGAGCATAGCCATCTCCATAGCTCGCTGAGCGACCTTGAGCTTCCTCATCCGGCCAGCAGTGAAGGACCACGTCTAAGTTCCGTATGTCATCACTGGTAACATGCACTGGTTGTACAGTCTTTATTTTCAAGATTTGAGGTATACCTGACGAGAAGATGTGCCGTAATTTCCCGAACGCTGCCCAACCGAGTTGAATCCGTCGATTGACCTCTCGGTCAAAGTTGGACTTACCTAGTCGGACTATTTGTCCCAGGTAAACATACTCATCAACAACTTCGAGCTTAATGCTCCCAACAACTGCCGGCATAGTTGTGACATGGACATTAAACATGATCTTTGTTTTGTCCATGTTCATCTTAAGACTTATCCGTTGGGAAGCACTATTTGAGCATAGTGATATTGAGCATAATGCTTAGGTCCTCCAGCGATTCTGCCATAAGGACTATATCGTCGGCAAATCGAAGGTGAGTGATGTACTCGCCATTGATGTTGATACCGTATCCTTTACGGTACAGTAGCTTGAAAACGTCTTCCAATGCAGCGATGAAGAGTTTCGGGGATATAACGTCTGTTTATGCCTAAATTTGGTCATGTTGAACACCGTCCAATTGCATTCGAGCTGTCGCGTCACCCGATAGTATGTAGGTGACAAAACGCCGCCAGGTGGGGCGGCGGTGTGCGGCTCGTGTAGCTCGACGCGTGGGCGAGAATGAGCGAGTTGCCCACTGGCCGCGAAGCTAGTTTAGCGCGGCCGAGGTTCACGCGAACGTTGTCGGGTCCAGATAGTTAGATTGAGTGCGTGTTACTTCCTTACGTGGATATGTGAATTTTGCAATATTTAACTTGTACGGGGATGCGGAATTGTGCACGCGCGCGTCGATTAGATATACGGTCTAGGATTCGAACCGCGCATTCCTTGTTCGAGAGCTTCTCCCGGTTGCTCATCAGGAAATCATTATAATTGGGCCGTCGCGTTAAGTGCCCTTTTTTGTGTATGTTGGCTTGCTAGTTTACGTGTCAACGAGGCGTATTTTGAATCTTTTCACGACGTGGTGTTTGGTGTCGAATGAAGGAACATATTTGTGTTTAACGCTGAGTAGTATGACTCATTAAGAGATCGCTTTAATTCCCTCTTTATAATTTTGTGATAAGTGAATCCGGGACATTGAATGTTGAACTTGAACTACTGTCCGTTACTGTGTCGGGTATCACGTGTTCGATTCTACGATGAATGTGGAATTGAGCGAGTTTAAGTTAGTTAAATGTACAATGAAGCTAATAGACTGAAATAGTGACAAGGAAGAAAGAAATGGTCCAGCGGTGGAGCCTGCTGGAGCGATGCAGCATTTTGGGGCAACCTGGAACTCGGCCGCTGCTGTTTGCCTAAGGTGGTCAAGGCCTCACACATTTACACATCACTGAACACTACCTGACATTCACCTCACACCCACTCACGGCCTGATCGAGCCTAGGTGCGAAGTTAGCTGCTGATTCTGGTACGTAATATGTGTTTCTAGCCTTCTGCCATATAGCTTAGTATTATAGGAAATTCATCCATATGGCCATTGGGCCCGACCTGCGTCTGCCCGTCGAGGAAGCTGCTATGGGCTCCAGCCAGGCGACCTTTGCAGGGGCAGCTGTAAGCCGTAACAACGTCACCCTGTCTTACACCTTTCTGCAGATGGATAGGTTTCGTACTCTGGTTCGGTAATCGGATAGCCATCGTAGTCCTACTGTACAAACATTTCAGCTCTTCGAAATACCGATAGAAAACTTGGCACCGCTGAAAGGACTGTAGCACCTTGCAAATATCGACAGAATCAAAGGCTTTCTCATAGTCCACATACGTAAGGCAAAATGGCAGATTGTACTCTTCTGTCTTCTGTACGATTTGCCGAAGGTTGTGTGTGGTCTATGGTACCAAAGCCTTTTCGGAAACCGGCTTGTTTGGGAGGCTGGAAGTTGTCGAGTCTGCGTGCGACACGATTCGTAACGACTCTCGAAAACAGCACGTAGACGCGGCTCAGAGGGAAATTGGTCGTGTACTTCTTCAAGAGAGCGTTATCGCCTTTCTTGAAGAATAAAACCACTGCACATCTGTTCCACGCCTCCGGAGTAGTATCGCCATGGAGAACCGAATAAAAAAGCTTCTGAAGGACTTTGTTACGGACAGCGAGAGACCCGCCGCCCCGTCGCCCCTTCGTTCCCCGTTACGTCCCGCGCACCCCGCACGCCGGCGCTGATCACGCGATATCGGGCAACCAATCAGCGCGCGTGCGGCGAAAATTGCCATCGGGCGGCTAACCCCACGAAATGAAGCGCTCTCCTCGGAAATATAAGAAGGGCGCCTCGGACGGCCGTCGTTCATTCGGGTTCATTCATTCGGAAGCGGCACTCGAGAAGACAACAAGGAAGAATCAGGACAGAAAACCTGGAAGAAGACTCCATACTGAAGACCCCCCTCTTGAATAGTGATTTAGTTAATAGTGCCGAACCCTTTGTAAATAGTGAATATAGTATAGTTAAAAGTACCATCTTTTCTTCGAACAGTCCCCTAGTATAGCTAACCTCACACCGCCAGTTAAAGTATAAATACAGTCCACTGCTCTCCATCCACTTTATCTTGGTCCATCGTCGCCGGATAGCAGCCAGGAAGAAGGAAGAAAGAAGTAAGAAGAAACAAGAAAGTAGGCAGTTATAGAAGAAAGAACATAATTACAGAAGAGAGAAGATTATTATAGAAGATCTTCAAGGAAGAAAGAAGTTCGTCGACGAAGAGAGAAGATCGTCGGTACTAATTTCTTCCCTGTTTCTTGTTACGCCTACGTCATACGCGTCTATTGTCTGTTTCCAGACAATTTCTTGTTTCTTAACCGCGTTTACGCGGCCAGTGGTCACTCCCTAACGGTGCCAAACTGTGACCATCTGGTAACGCCCTTGTGGCGGGAACGACATCCATACGTGTGTCTTTTTAAAGACTGTACGTACGTCTTTTTGAAGACGACCGGAGGTCGCAACGTGGGACCATGAGGAAGACACGAAGCCAGAAGACACGGAACGATGATGACACGCCGGTAGGAATGCGCATATTCGAAGAAGCACCCGCGTCCCCGTCCGATTATCTCGCGATGGCACAAGCGCCCTCCGCCGCGCCCGCGCTCCAGGCCCCGCCCGCGCCCGCATCTACGCCCGCGCCCGCGCCCCCGCCGCCGCGCCCCGCTATGTCCGTGTCCACGACCGATCGTTTGGGAGAGGTTAGCATTTCCGCGCCGCGTACAGAGACACTCGCCGCGATTATAGAAGATCTTCCGTCTACAGAGATTAGTTCGATAGTACGTACCGTTGCGCCTGTAACAGACGTACATAGGCCCGCGCCCCGCGCCCCGTCGGTTCGCTCCGTTCGTTCAGCCCGGTCGACGGCTAGTGCGATAGCTAAATTAAAGCAAATTGAATATAACGCCGCGGAGGAACTAGCTGCAATTAGGAGGAAGCAATTGCAGTTGGAAGAAGATCTTATTAGGAAGAAGTACGCTAGGGACGTCGCGCAACTGCAAGAAGAAACAGATAGGGAAAGTGTCAACGAAGATGAGTTAGTTGAAAATAGGGTACGCGTTGATAGGTGGTTAGAGAACGTAGAGACTGTGCGGGGGGAGTCGCCTTCCCGCCCCTCTCAGCCCGCGCCCCGCATCGAGTTAGAGCAGACCCTACCGAACAGGGTAACCGGTTACGACCACAGTGAAGATGCCCAGGGGAGGACGGAAGCGAATAACGTTCAACCGCGCCGCATAGATTCGGTACAGAGGGAAGATGGAGTCGCCGCAGGAATGAACCAGGTGGATCGTCGTGTACGGGTTACGTCGCCGTCGCGCGTCCAACGCCGCACTCTATCGCCTACACATAGATCGCCACATCGCCACGCGGATCGTAGATCACCGTCGCCGCATAGGGATGTAGGTGTACGTAGATCGCCATCGCCACATCGCCGCACGGATCGTAGATTATCGTCACCGTATAGGGATGTAGGTGCGCATAGGACGCCAGCTCCACAGCATAGGCTAGAGAGAGATAGGGATAGAGATAGGTCGCTTACTCCGCGAGGAAAGGATAGGGGTATAGAGCGACTAGCGGAAGCTCTGGAGAATATGGTCAGAGTTAGGCCCGCTGCCGCGAAGCAGACGCAGGACTTGCCTATTTTTAACGGTTCGGCCGCGGAATGGTTAGCGTTCAAAGCCGCGATGAAAGAATCCACGCGTCTATATGGATTCACAGATACGGAAAATATGGCAAGGTTAAGAAATTGCTTACGCGGTGAAGCTAGGGAAGTAGTATCAGCACTGCTGTTTACCGCGAAGGATCCAGCAGATATTATGCGAACATTAGAGCAGTGTTTCGGCCGCCCAGAAGTAATTATCGATCGCGCGTTAGAAGAATTGAAACGCCTTCCGCGCCCGGGTCAAACCGCACAGGAATTAAATGCGTTCGCAATAAAGTTGCAAAATATCGTGTGCATTTTGCAAAACGTCGACGGCAAGGGATATCTGCAAAATCCAATGCTTACTAGGGAGGTAATGAGTAAGTTAAGCCCTCACTTACGGTCGCGTTGGTGTGATTATGCGGAGCACTACGGGAGTGCAGACGAGCCGGACATCGTTACACTGTCCAGGTTCATGATGAGAGAGGCTGATCGTGCGTTGAGTCATGCCTATACGTCCGTAGAGCCGACTAAGGAATCGCCCGTAAGACGAGAGGCGCCGCCGTCGAAAAGGATAGTGACACGCCGCGTAGAGAATAGGGCTCGCGACGTAAAAACGTTCACCGCACAGGAGGACACCGGTAGTGCCTCTTGTATGTGCTGCGGAGGTGAACACGCGATCGCCAAGTGTAGGAAGTTAGCGCAAATGGGTGTGGACGACCGGTGGAATTGGGTAAAAGAAGACGGGGTATGTTTTCTATGTTTAAATAGTAAACACCGACGGTTTAAATGTAAAGCAAAGAAATGCGGCATCGACGGCTGCAACGCCCCCCACCACGCCCTCCTTCACACCCGCAAGACCCGCGCACCTGAGACATCGGCCAAACCGGATGAGACCGTACTCGTCGCGTCTAACGTCGGTAGGAATGCATCCGTATTGTTGAAAGTGTGTCCCATTACGTTACGTGGACCACACGGTAAGGAAATAGACACGTACGCGTTGCTCGACGAAGGTTCGACTATTTCGTTGATCGATGACGACTTAGCGCGTGAGTTAGGAGCGGAAGGACCGGTAAAGCCGCTGAATATTAGGGGAATAAGCAATAGTCAGCGCGAGGCCGATAGCAGGCTAGTTAACATAGGCATACGTGGAAAATCGCGCAGCGAGATGTATAGAATAAATGCGCGTACAGTAACGAATTTACAGATAGGTTCGCAGTCGGTAAATAAAGAGTGTTTACGTCTAAAGCATTTACGCGACCTACCGAGCTCGGTTTGCTATGAGGACGCCAAACCGAGATTATTATTAGGAGCCGACAATTGGCATTTAATAATCACCCGTAATTTGAGGATAGGGCGTCGAAGGCAGCCTATAGCTGCACGTACGTTATTAGGATGGGTGATACAGGGAACCGTGCCGCGATTCACGTGTAGGGAGGACGGTGAAACCGTGTTACACGTCGTAAGCAGTAGCGGACGGATAGATAGGGACATCCGAACGTTCGCGAGTCAAGACGAGGAGATAACGGAACTCCTCAAACGGCAGTACGAGATCGATTCCATCGGTATTTCGCTAAGGAATAGGCCGCGACGGGAAAAGGAGCGCGCTGTCGAGATATTCCAGCGCACCGTCAAGAAGGTCGGCGATCAATACCAGGTGGGACTGCCATGGAAGGACGACGACGTGCGGATGCCTCCTAGCTACGAGATGGCTGCTAGAAGACTGCGGACGATCGAGAGGAAAATGGACAAATCGCCGGAATTTCGAGACGCCTATACCGCACAAATAGATAACCTCCTGGCGAAAGGATACGCAAGGGAAGCCGAGGGGACGGAGAGAGAGGACACTAGGAGCTGGTACCTGCCCCACTTCGCAGTACGAAACCCGAACAAGCCTGGGAAGACGAGAGTGGTTTTCGACGCGGCAGCGCGTGCGTCCGGTAAATGTTTGAACGATTATTTGCTTGACGGCCCCGACTTGTTACGGAACCTACCGGGCATACTGTTCAGATTTAGGGAAAACGAAATAGCCGTGTCAGCGGATATTAGGGAAATGTTCTTACGCGTTAAGATTGACCGTCGCGACCAACCCGCGCAATTATTTCTGTGGCGAGGTAACGAGCGATCCAGCCCACCGCGGGAATACGTTATGACTTCAATGATTTTCGGTGCGAGGAGCTCGCCGTTTCTCGCACATAGCGTTAGGGATCATAACGCGCGCGCACACGCTGAGACACATCCGTTGGCACTTAACGCTATCGTACGTAGTCACTACATGGATGACTACCTAGACAGTTATGCTACGGTAGAGGAAGCGGTAAACACTGCGAGGCAGGTTACGGAAGTCCACCAGCAGGCCGGCTTCACATTAGCGGGCTGGAATTCGAACCACGCAGCCCTACTAGAAGACAAGCCGGAGGAATTATTAGCGAGCAAGCCTAAGGAGGTAGGCTTGAGACAAGACAGCCCAGGCAGAACCCTAGGGCTATTATGGATGGCCAATGAAGACGCCTTAACGTTTAACACATCCATGAACCGGGTACCGAACGAGGTGAAGACGCTGCAGAGGCCACCGACCAAGAGAGAGGCGTTGAGTGCAGTCATGTCGGTCTTCGACCCGCTTGGACTGCTGAGCTACCTCACCATCACCGCCAAGATCCTGCTGCAAGACCTGTGGCGGATGAAGAAGGTCGGATGGGACGACGAACTACCCGAGGAGGCAGCTGAGGAATTCCAGAGGTGGCTGCGAGTCGTCGAGGAAGTATCACGACTGCGGCTGCCTAGGTGCTATGCTCCTACGGGGGGAGTGGTAGAGCGTCAGCTCCACGTGTTCAGCGACGCAAGCGAACGTGCGTACGCATCCGCGGCGTATTGGCGATTACGATACCGCGACGGAACGGTTAAGATACGATTAGTGGCGGCCAAGGCGAAAGTCGCCCCGATAAAGGCGCAAAGCATACCACGGTTAGAATTACAGGCGAATATGATAGGCGCGCGACTCGCGGAATTCGTGCAAGGCGAGCACAGAGTGGTAGCCGATAGGGTAGTTTATTGGACAGACTCCACTACGGCGCTCCATTGGATTCAAAACGATACGGCGCGTTACACCCCATACGTAGCACATAGATTAGGGGAGATATCGGAGAAGACGTCACCCGAGCAATGGAGGTGGATACCGACCGCAGACAACATCGCGGATCAGGCAACGCGCATTAATTATACGTACAAGGAAGAGAGCGACAAATGGTTTACGGGACCGCCATTCCTGTACGAAGAGGAAGATCGATGGCCTCGACGACGGGAAGAGAAGGCAGGGGATGAAGATGACGAGCTGGAGGAAGTCGTGGCGCACCAGAGCGACACCAGGGGCGCTCCACACCTGCCAGACATCGAGAGGTTCTCTTCTTACGAGAGATTGGTCAGGGCCACCGCTCAGATATTACAGTTCGTCGATGCCATGAGAGGAAAGGCGCACGGACTAACATTGGACCACATCCATAAAGCAGAGCGGATGTGGATAGAGCGAAGTCAACAAGAGAGTTTTGCTGAAGACATCAGTCGACTGCAGAAAGGAAGGAACTTGGCAACCGGCAGCGCGTTAAGGAAGCTCGACCCCATATTCGAAGATGGCGTACTGCGAGCTAGAGGACGGATTGACGCAGCCGATGTGGACAGCCAAATGAAGAGGCCCATCATCCTGAACGGACGCCACCAGTTTGTAAAGTTGCTTGTGGAGAAGGCGCATAAGGAAGCAAGCCACGCCAACAGGGAACGGGTAGTGAACGACCTACGCACGAGATATCACATACTTCGACTACGACCGACCGTACGAGAAGTGGAGCGGAGATGTCTGCGGTGCAGGGTACGCAAGGCGACACCTCGGCCAGCGGTTATCGGAGATCTACCACCTGAACGGTTAGGGGCATTCGCGCGACCATTCACCTACACCGGAATCGACTATTTCGGGCCTATAACGGTAACAATAAGACGTAGGCATGAAAAACGGTGGATAGCGTTATTCACTTGTTTGACGACGCGCGCGGTACATCTAGAGATAGTTTATTCCCTAACGACGGACTCGGCGATATCGGCATTGCGGCGCATGGCGGCTAGGCGTGGGTGGCCACGGGTCATCTACTCGGATAACGGGACAAACTTTCATGGGGCGGACACCGAATTACGACGGGCAATGGAAGAGTGGGCACCCCTGCTGAAGGACTACGCGTTGACTCGGCGGACGGATTGGAAGTTCATCGCGCCGGGTGCGCCGAACCAGGGAGGCGCATGGGAGCGTCTCGTGCGCTCGGTGAAGACCGCGCTCGAAGCCACACTCAATCAGAAGAGCCCACGGGAGGAGACATTAGCGACGCTCCTCACAGAAGCCGAAAACACCGTTAACTCTCGACCGTTGACGCACGTACCGGTCGACATCGACGAAGAAGAGGCATTGACACCCAACCACTTCTTGCTGCTGGGACCATCGAGCCTTCCAGTGACCGCGCCGTGCACGCCTAATGATCGTCGGGCGTGGAGAGCGGCGCAGGGACTTGCCGACGAGTACTGGAAGCGCTGGGTGAAGGAGTACCTGCCGACGCTGGTTGCGCGCGGAGACTCAAGGGACGTGCAGCAGCGCCCGGTGCAAGAAGGAGACCTCGTCGTGGTGGCAGACGGGACCATGCCGCGGAACGTGTGGCCAAGAGGAGTTATAACGAGGACCTTCCCCGGACCAGACGGCGTGGTACGGAACGTCGAAGTGAGGACCAGGGGCGGATTGCTGCGGCGGCCGGTCAGGAGGATCGCCGTCCTCCTGAGTGCAGCCTAGGCTCGCAAGGCTACGCCGGGGGGAGAATGTTACGGACAGCGAGAGACCCGCCGCCCCGTCGCCCCTTCGTTCCCCGTTACGTCCCGCGCACCCCGCACGCCGGCGCTGATCACGCGATATCGGGCAACCAATCAGCGCGCGTGCGGCGAAAATTGCCATCGGGCGGCTAACCCCACGAAATGAAGCGCTCTCCTCGGAAATATAAGAAGGGCGCCTCGGACGGCCGTCGTTCATTCGGGTTCATTCATTCGGAAGCGGCACTCGAGAAGACAACAAGGAAGAATCAGGACAGAAAACCTGGAAGAAGACTCCATACTGAAGACCCCCCTCTTGAATAGTGATTTAGTTAATAGTGCCGAACCCTTTGTAAATAGTGAATATAGTATAGTTAAAAGTACCATCTTTTCTTCGAGCAGTCCCCTAGTATAGCTAACCTCACACCGCCAGTTAAAGTATAAATACAGTCCACTGCTCTCCAACCACTTTAGACTTCAAGTACCGATTTTCCTCCTGCTTTCAAAAGCTCCGCTGTAATTCCATACTCGTCCGGGGACTTTCCGTTTTTAAGGTGCTGAAGAGCCATTCTTATCTCGCACAGACTGATGTCCGGGCTATCTTTGGATTAATGTCGAATAAGACTCACTCTTGGATCGTTACTCACACTTGCTTATGGCTCCAACGATGACATGTGCTGCCCATAGAACCTCTCAATCTCACTCAAAATCTCAGGTGTCCCGGAAACGATGCTGCCACACTCGGTTTTCAGCTTTGACAGTTGGCTTTTTCTGGCAGATAGATCTCTGGCAAAGACTTTGGAGCCTTGGTTCTGCTCGATCGCTTTTTCAATACAAGCTGTATTGAAATTGCGTAAGTCCCGCCGCATGCATTTGGAGATATATCTGTTCAGTTGCCTGTATGCTGTCAAATCTGTTGAATACTGTGTCTTTATCTCCCGTCTAACAGCCATGTGATTAAGAGTGTGATCGGAGAGTTTTTGTGTTCTTCTACGGCGGGTCCTGCAGAACTTAGCTCCGACTGCATGTACAGTGTCCACGAGCTAATCATTCATATCGTCCACTTTATTGCAGTCTTCCAGGCACCGAAAACGGTTTTGTAAGTCGAGCTGAAAGGTTTCGGGACTTTGGACTAGAGGGGGACGGAGCGTTGACATCACTAGGCGACACCTCTCCAACTTAACATTTAGGTTCAGTGTGCCTCTCACCATTCGGTGATCGCTACCAGTTTTCACCCTCGCGGTCACTGCGACATCAAATGAAGTCAATCTCATTTTTTATCGAACTGTCGGAGCTCGACCAGGTCCACTTTCTGTGGGGCCGCTTCTAGAATAAAGAGTTAATTATAAAGAGTCCCTCTTTCTCCTTGAAGTTGGCGAGTTGAACGGAACCCAAAAGGCTAGCCTTTTGGGTTCCGTTGCCCTATTCCGAATTTTTCTACTTTCAGCTCACCGTTCTCTCTTGTGCATAGTTTTGCATTGAAGTCTCCCATTTACACCGTATAGTGGGTTTTGGAGGAACGCATGGCCCTTGAGATATTCTCATACATTTCCTCCACCTCCTCATCGGGATGTGCCGAGTTTGGTGCGTAAACGCGTTTGGTGACTCTGAGTATAATGTACGCAACCCTCGTCGACACACTCCCAATTTTTATAACGTTGTTATCGAGAGACTTGTGGATGATAAATTCGACACCTCCTTGGGACAGATGGTCGCCCTCCCGGTGATAGAATAAGTTGCCGAATTCGAGGATTACCGTGTCCTCCTCCCTCTCCGGACCTCGGATAATCATATAATATTTCAGCGTAACTTGTCTATCTCTTCTTCCAGCTCCGGGATCTTCTCGTCATTCCTCAGGGTGCGTGCGTTATAACTTGCCAGGTCGAGTCGTCGTAGGTGGCAAGCTATCCACCACATAGGAAATTTATTACATACATCAAAAAAAAAAAATGGCGAACCCGGGTTTTTTTATACTAAATCAAATTTAATTACTACTTTTTTATTTTCTTATTGGTGCATCGTTAACATACTATATTTGGAAATGGGAGGCCAGTTTTAGAATATGTAGGTAATCACTAATGTTAATACATCCCCCAATTTAGACGCAGTTTGTAGTCGCAGTTCTCAAATACTCATTTAGCTTATATGTTAGTATACTATACGCATTTGAATCAAACATTTGCTTCGTCGTTTATAATGCGAGATATTTTCATCCGATTATGTGGGTGTCTTCAAGGCAAGAGTGAATAGGTAATTGTTAAACTAAGTCAGTGTGTTTTACCATCTTCGGCTACTTCATCACTAAGCATCAGGTGGGATAGTGGTCAAGCACTGGCTTATAATAGTTTAAAAATATCACCATCTACCGCAGGTTGTGAAGGTCTTTCTGATCATTACCACAATTGCTTTACATAACAAACACGGAATTAAATGAAGAGACCTTAAGAGTATGTGCTGTACTATTATATACATAGATATGCTTGTGGAATTATTCTTCACCATTCATTTATTATTGGTGTAGACTAGGGATGGAACTGCTCGCGCCTTATTTTGTCCCTACTTCATACAAAATTCTAGATTTTTCTGACTTAGAACTCAGAAGTTATAACGATTTTTCTCGAAACCACGTGGTTCTCGAAACCACGTGGCCACGTGTTTCGACAATACGAAGAGTGCGGCTAAATTTGAAATTGCAGTTTTATAGCCCCAGTTATTACTTTTTATAAGACGTACCACACATAGGAATCGGTTAGCTATATAAGTTTCTACAAGTGAAAAACTGAATTATTTAAAAAAACAAATTTTAAAAATTAAATTTTTAAAAAACTAAAGCTATAAAATAAATTTTTATTATAATAATTGATAACCCTTAGTTTGATCTTGCTTTTCAAAAAATTCTAGATTTTTCGAACTTAGAAATCACAAGTTATAACGGTTTTTCTCGAAACCACGTATTTCGAGAAATCGAAGAGTGCGGCTTAATTTGAAACTGCATTTTTATAGCCCCAGTGATTACTTTTCAAAAAACATATCGAACATAAGAATCGGTTGGGTCTATAAGTTTCTACAAGGGAAAAACTGAATTATTTTGCAAAAACTAATTTTCAAAATTAATTTTCTAAAAAAATTTCAAACCTGCATAGAAAAACTGAATTATTTTGCAGAAACTAATTTTCAAAATTAATTATCTAAAAATATTTTTATTACAGTTATTGACAACTCGGATTTTGTTCTTGCTTTACACAAAATTCTAGATTTTTCTATCAATGAATTTTGGAGATACACCTAATTTTGTGAAATTATAGTGCCACGTGGTCACTATTGCAGCAGACCTACCGAGAGAAACACCTTATAGAGCGACGCGATATAAAATTAGAAATATAAAGACATTTTTTTTTTCAAAGTTTTAAGACAAGTAAAACGGGTTTTATCGTTTTTTTTATTATTTTATATGACTTTTAGCATTTATCTGATAATTATCAATAAAATAACTAAACTAAATTATCTAGCTGGATAGAGTGCAGCGAGACCTATTCTGCGATACCAAGGTCGGGGAGTCTATCTTCAACCGCCTCCGAGTTATAACAATATTTTAATTTTGACCGCCATATTGGAAAACCGTCGAAATATTTAATCAGGCATTACTCGGCAACTATTTATCGTAGAACTGAATGGTTTTCAATAGAAGGCTCATTACAATACAGAACATATGCTAGAGCTGAAAAAAGGAACATAAAATTTGAACAACTAGCAGTGCACACCATTAGATAGTGGAAGACGAGGTGAACAGATAGAGCCTAAACTTGGATAGTTTGACTGCTAAACAACGCTAGATATATAGAATTCAAACTAAGGTGGCCATCTTGTTCCGCCATCTTGGCAATTTTATATTTATCATAACTCAGGAACGGAAGCTTGTATTGAGTTGCGGTTTCCAGTATATGCATCAGCAAGCTTGGCTATATCTGTAAGTATTTACTTTTTGACTCTATATAGATAGAGTCAAAACATAGAGTCTTTGAAGCGGGAGCTTGTATCAAGCCGCGATTTCAGAATAGATATTAAAGCGTCCTACTCTATATATCATAATAGTTTACTTTAAACAACAGATGCCGGTTTTGAGCTGATTAAATATATCTTTAATGCATGGGAGAATTCACAGGATGCTTTGGGTATATTTTGTAACCTATCCAAGGCCTTCGATTGTGTTCACCATGAAACATTAATCAGGAAACTTCACCACTACGGTGTAAGAAGTGAAGCTCTTAAATTAATTATTTCATATTTAACTAAGAGAACGTAAAAAGTTGTCATTACTAATATGAGCTCTTCCGGATCGATGGTAAAAATGGGCGTGCCTCAAGGCTCAATTCTCGGCCCCTTTCTGTTTCTTGTATACATTAATGACTTACCTTACATAGTAGGGGATAACCATGATATAGTATTATTTGCAGATGACACTTCTTTAATTTTCAAATTAAGTCGACAATTACTAAAATATGATAAAGTAAATAATGCTATATCTAAATTAGTAAATTGGTTCAATGTTAATAATTAATAATTTGCATTGAAATGGCACTAAAACGAAATGTATGAAATTCATGACTCCAAATGTCAAACAATTAAATACTAATGTAATTTTAAATGGGGAGAAACTGAGTCTTGTAGATACCACCATTTTTCTTGGAATCACACTAGACGCGAATCTTATGCTTATGCATAAGCTTCGCGTCTAGTGTGAGCATATGCTTTAAAAAAGATTAGAAGTCTTACCAGTGTTGAAACAGCTAGATTAGTTTACTTTAGCTATTTCCATAGCATAATGTCGTTTGGTATTTTGCTATGGGGACACGCAGCTGACACTGAAATTATATTTGTTTTACAGAATATGGCCATAAGAGCAATTTATGATTTAAAGCCTAAAGAGTCGCTGCGACAAAAATTTAAGGAAATTAATATATTAACTTTGGCCTCTCAATACATTTA